AGAAAAAGGGGCAAAAAGGGGAGAGGAGTATTTGAAGGCCTATCCTAAGGACATTGATCAACCCCTAAAAAATTAATATTGCCTAAACCCAGGGATATTAAAGCTGCAAGTTGTTAGGAATATTACCAAACCTTCAGTGACCAAACTTACATCAGAAAAGAATGGGAAGCTATCATTCTTTTCAACCTACAGAAATGAATCCGACTAATTATAATTAAGAGTATCCGTTTTAGATTTACTGACCCTTTCATTAGGAAAATGTATTATTTTTGTACAAAACAAACAAGTAAACAAAACAACATACCTAGCAAATGCAATTTTCCCTTCTTATGTCCCTTATACAAGTCCATTTGGCTTAAGTCTCCAGTCTCAAAGAATAAGGATCCTTGCAATTCTATTTCCTTTTCCCATTGCCATTATGTTTATTAAATACCTCAAACAAATTTCATTGCTTGAAAATGACATGTTGTATATTCTCTCAATAAATGTTAACAAAGCATATGTTTGGAGTAATGGAAAATGTATGTAACTTTGTTTGCAGATGGGTGGTGGAGGAATGGGGCTCTTGCAGTAAGACTTGTGGAAAACTGGGTGTCCAGACCAGACTGGTTCAATGTATTCAACACTTGGAAAATGGCACAAACAGGACAGTCCATACAAAATACTGCACTGCTGAGCGTCCAGAACCAAGAAGACCATGTAACCGTATACCTTGTCCTGCGCAGTGGAGGACGGGAGCCTGGTCACAGGTTAGTCATTCACAGTGGAGGAAAAGCTATATAACAAACATCACTGTAACACAAGATAAAGAGAACACTCAGTCAGTCATTGTAGAGCCCTTTTTTCATGTAAGGAATCGCCAAGCAAAAAAGCTGTATTATTTTTCCCTCAGGTGCAGGTTCTTTGCTGTGTGATCTAGTGCTGGTTCCTTTACAGGTTGACTGACACCCCTGTCATCCATCCCCACTTCTTGTGATCTCAGGCAGTCATGGACATTCCCCATGGTGTGCATCATCATACTGGCCTGGGCTCACAGTAGTGATGATCACACATAAGCTGTGCTGACCAGGGCCTATGACTTCACAGTGCCAATGCTGTAATAGGACCCGTGACATCACTATCCAAGAAACTGCAAGATTTGTATGGTATGAATAAAGGTATATTTTAAATGGTGGAAGTGGGGGATGGAGGCAGTTAAAAAATGGTGGAGTTTTGCTTTAAATATATTTATCTTTAAACATGTTCACCTATAACAAAAGATGAATGGATTGTACATCATTTTTTCACACAGCATATACCAATGTTGGGCTTCTTGCCTCCTGTATTTTATACAGCTGTGTCAAAGTCCGTGGTCCTCAGCAGCTCTAATTGGTTCCTTCTGCTGACTTTGACTCATTACAAGATACAGTAATGATGCAGAGGTCAGTAAGAGTAAACAGTGAGAGCTGTGGAGAGCTCAACACTCCTAGAAGTGTCAGTTTCAGTGCAGACTTCGGAAGTTTTCTCATCATTGTAGTGGAGATCAATAGCATTGGAAGCAGAACAGACAATCATATACTGACTTATTTTAAAAGAATGCCTTGATTTATAATCTGCATATAGCAACAGGGCCTATTTAATTAAAAACTCCCTTTAAGAGCTTGGTTTCATGGCTTACTTGCATTACTGAACACCTAATATGGTTTACAAATATGTGATACTAAAAATCACAAGCACCAATTGTCATTATTTTTATAATGAGTGCAATGTTGTGTGTTTCGTTGAATGTATGTAAAACAAACTGCAACTTTTTATGTGTCAAGGGCTGTTTTAATACCTAATGTTTAGGTGGCATTCTAGCAGAATTTTTAAATCCTCATAGCCACACTTCAGTGATGCCATGATTATTACAATGGGCACCACGCAGGGTAGTACACACAGGAGCACTAGCACTGCGTTGTGTTGTGTTAAAAACAAAGCAGCTTGTCGCTTTCATGAGGCAATGACAGTTGTTTGCCAACCTCAATTAATTCAGTGGTATTATGCCATAACCACACCTTAACTGCACCTAAAGCATGTATGGCATGTTAGTAAAGCATGTATAAAGTGTTAGATGGGCAATGGGGAAGAGGCACTGGAGGTTCCTGTATCCCAGAATGCAAAGGGAAATGACAAAGAACTATGACAGAGCAGCAACAACACATGGTAAAGAGTATGGAAATGACCCTTGGAAATTCTCTGAGAGACTATGGGATGTACCCAATACCATTGCAATATCCTCTTCTTTTTCTGCTGGACCATTCTTTCCATAATCATCTTGAGCTGGACCAAACCAAGTGTCAAAAAGATCAAAGTATACAAATACATCTAGCAGAGAACTAAACATACCTTAAAGCAGATAATTTCCTCTATATCACTTCTCCTTTAAGCGCTTTGCACTAGAAAAACAACACTTTCATGGGCATTTAACAAGCATTCTTGATGCTTTCAATGCATCAAAAACACATCAAAAACACAACAAAAATGCATCAAAAACACTACATAAATACTATAGGTGCATTAATGAGCATTGCTTTGCTATATTGTTACATGTAAGGACAAAAAAAGGTGAAGTTTAGTTTACTGTATGCGTGTATATATACTGCTTCGGCTACACAAACATACTATTTTAATATATATTGAGTTTTCTCTATTTATTTATGAGACTCAGGGGAGGTTGTGGTGCATCTGTTATCTGTTTGTAAGAAACCAGCGATTTGGAAGACGCTCACATCCTGCATTCATGGGAGGAAATCTCTACATTTGCACAAGCTGTGCCTCTTGATTGATGTCATCTCATTGACTTTCACAGTGCTCATCAAGCTGCGGTGAAGGCATTCAACAGCGCCAAGTAGTATGCAAAGCAAGTGATAATGTTATTGGTCAGTGTGATGGTGACAAGCCCGAAACGATCCAGGTCTGCAAGATGGCTTCTTGCCCAGGTATGGTAATGATGTGTATATTTGATGCTTGGCTTTAACTTTGCTTTGTCCTAGTAGGATACATGATGTTGATTGTGGTATCCTGAAATGATCCTGTTTTTGGAAACATAGTAAATTTTTGAAACCGACTTGAAATCTGAAACAGCTTGAGTTGGTCAACAACTTGAACATACACATGGTAAATATGTTACAGAAACAATGATGTCATAAAGCTGGATGATTGGCTGGCAAAAGTTTGTGTGTGTTTAGTTGATGGGAAGCATAACACATAGCGTAGAAGATTTGCAGTGAGAGAACCAGGATTAACATCTTGTCTAACTCTCTGCTTAAATGTTATACCTTCTGAAGATAAAGATATACATTTAGACAGCAGCATTGCCAGTCTGGGGAGAGGGTAGTGTTAGATGGAATAGCAGATTTAGATGGACGTTACGAACAAATTAAAGCCAAAATGCCAGCTAACGTTTTTTAAAGTGGTAGTAAAGTCCCATTGGACACTTACGTCTTACAATAAAGCTTCCCTGTAGGTACAAAGAATATCTCCTAAACGTGCACCATTTAGGGGATATTCAGTGTCCCTGCAGCCAATAACAACACTGACACTTACGCGGGAGTGACGTCATCGCGGCTCGGCCATTCAAGCGGCCAGACACCGTGAACCTGGAAGGAAGACTGGGTGAAGATGGAAGCCTCTGCAGCGGTGACAGCGCACCACTGGAGGGCTTTGTTTTCAGGTAAGTCTTTCATAATGTGCTAGTATGCATACTAGCACATTAGGACGTTACCTTAAAGCAGTGATGGCAACAGTGTTTTTTTCTTATTTTGGATAAAGGTTTTACATAAATGAATAAAAGCTGACCATAGTAAGCACCCCTGTCAGTGCTAATTAATTTGTTAAACCCTCAAACTCCTACTTTTGTTGGACAACTTGCTCTATTAAATGAAATTGAAAAATAATAGACAGGAAAAAAGCCTAAAAAAGGAAATTAATTCAGCCACATCTAATGATTTGTAGGCTGCATGATAGTACATTTTTGTTTTGGGGTTTAATGTTTTTCTAAAGCCCAACTATAGTGTATTTTTGGTTTTTGTTCGGGATAGTCTGGGGAAAACTGAAAATTTCTCTTAGGTTTTCATTACTGTAAGTGACCAATTTAGGGAGATTTTTTTCTTACTTCTTGTTCCTGTGACATCCGTAGAAGAAATGAAGAATGCATCTGTCACCTGTACAGGAAGGCCCAGAAAACCTTGTGAAAAGATCTAACCCCTACCCACTCTACTAAAAAAATTGTTCTTGTTCTCTGTGTTCCTGTTGGAGATACACTATATTGCCAAAAGTATTGGGACACCTTCCCTTATATGCACATGAATGTTAACGGCATCCCAGTCTTAGAGCCTCAACTCTTCTGGGAAGGCTGTCCACAAGGTTTAGGAGGGTGTCTATGGACATGTTTGACCATTCTTCCAGAAGCGCATTTGTGAGGTCAGGCACTGATGTCAGCCAAGAAGGCCTGGCTCACAGTCTCTGCTCTAATTTATCCCAAAGGTGTTCTATCAGGTTGAGGTCAGGACTCTGTGCAGGCAAGTCAATTTCCTCCACCCCAAACTTGCTCATCCATGTCTTTATGGACCTTGCTTTGTGCACTGGTGCGCAGTCATGTTGGAACAGGAAGGGGCCATCCCCAAACTGATCCCACAAAGCTGGGAGCATGAAATTATCCAAAATGTCTTGGTATGCTGACGCCTTAAGAGTTCCCTTCACTGGAACTAAGGGGCCAAGCCCAACCCCTGAAAAACATCCCCACACCATAATCCCCCCTCCACCAAACCTTACACTTGGCACAGTGCAGTCAGGCAAGTACCATTCTCCTGGCAACCTCCAAACCCAGGCAGGTCCATCAGATTGCGAGATAGAATCGTGATTCGTCACTCCAGAGACCACATCTCCACTGCTCTAGAGTCCAGTGGTGGCGTGCTTTACACCACTGCATCCGACGCGTTTGCATTGCACTTGGTGATGTAAGGATTGGATGCAGCTACTCAGCCATGGAAACGCATTCCATGAAGCTCTCTATGCACTTTTGTGCTAATCTGAAGGCCACATGAAGTTTGGAGGTCTTTAGCTATTGACTTTGCAGACAGTTGTTGACTTCTGTGCACCGTGTGCTTCAGGATGCACTGCCCCCGCTCTGTCATTTTACGTGGCCTACCACTTCGTGGCTAAGTTGCTGCTGTTTCCAGTTACTTCCATTTTGTTACAATACCACTAACAGTTGACCGTGGAATATTTAGTAGCAAGGAAATTTCACAGATGGACTTAATACACAGGTACAAACCTATCACGATAGCATGCTCGAATTCACTGAGCTCCTGAGAGCGATCCATTCTTTCACAAATGTTTGTAGAAATGGTCTGCATGCCTAGGTGCTTGATTTTGTACACCTGTGGCCATGGAGGTGATAGGAACACCTGAATCCAATGGTTTGGAGGGGTGTTCCAATACTTCTGGCAGTATAGTGTATGTTTTGCTAGGGCAGAAAATTATGGGAAATCTTCTCAGTAAGGACACATACAACAATAAAAGAGAGGATTCAAACCTTCCCCACTGAAGAATTTGGCTGGAGGGGGGGAGTCTAGGATAAAAAGTAATTGAATGCTGCTATCACTAGCTGTTCAGGAGTGACAACAATTTTAAAAGAGAAGTATGGTCAAAGCTATTTTAGCCATACTTCTCTTATGGACTGTAGGCTGATGTTACACAGCAGCTCTAGATTCCTGACCAGCAGCTGGCTGAGCCTCTCAGTGCACCGCTGAGAGCCTTAGCCAGCCTCTCTCGCCCCCTCAACAGCCAGGCCCTCCAGTGAGCGCTGGAAGAGTAGAGCACAGAGTGGTAACTGACAGTCACCAGTCTCTGCTCAGAGCAGACTGGAGAACTGAGCGATCAGCACTCATGTGATTGCTCAGTTCTTGGGCTTAGAAGCGGCAAAGGACGGCTGCAAGATCGGACCAATGCTGCGGTAGTTAAGTATGTATGTTTGTATTTTTAGGATTCCTACACTTCTTTAAAAATAGATAATTACAAACATCATGGTTACCAATATGACACATATTATGTTATACCCATTTGCCACAGCCAGGTGCCAGGAGCCAGTCCCCTGTACAGCAGCCCATCTTTAGCAAGCTTTGTGGCATGTCTATCAGGTTGCAATTGCCTTCTGCAAGTGACTTTTGAGCAGCTTCAGTATCCATGAAAGAGATCTATGGCATTTCCGAATACAAAAACATGGTGCAAAGGGAAGAAAGTGCCGTAGCTGTATGGACCTGGCACTTCAAAACCTTAGCAGAATTTAGCCACAAAGAGCAGCTGACAAAGCATGCCAAACCAAAATGGCCAGGTGGTTTTGTTGGCTGCACCACAGAAATATTTTTGGGGATCACTATCAGCTTGTGGGACATTTATTGTGCGCCCCAACCCAGTATAAACAGATATCACTGAACACTGAACAAATGCACATTGTGCCTTTTGTAATCATTTTTAAATAATGTATGATGTAGCAAGCATTTTTTGTTACATTGCCAGGTATTTTCTTTTTTAGGCATGGGTATGCATTTTATTCTTTGCAAGGGTGCACTTGTCCTGATACATGTACTATTGATTTTCAGGAAAATCACCAGGACTTACACAACAAGCAGAAACAAGTGATCTAAGCCCTTCTAGGACACCTGTGGCTGCCTCACAAAATTCCCTTAAAAACCCTGTGAACAAAATATCTTCCAGTAAGTATGGCAACCAAGAAATCAAATCCATGGGTCACATTTTATGTGCAAGCACCATTTTTTTTAACTTTCTTGTTGAGGTACACATTTACGTATAAGTGCTATCTTTCCATGGTTTACAGAAAGTCCATTCAGTGTAATTAACAACTACCAACAACATTTTGTCTTACTATTTGTGGTGAGGACTATGAATCAAGGCATTAGGGTTGATTTACTAAAACTGGTGCAGCTCAGCATAGAAACCAATCAGCAGGTTTTTTTTTTATTGTCAAAGCTTAATTGAACAAGCTGAAGTTAGAAACTGATTGGTTATCATGCACCAGATTTTGCACTCTCCAGTTTTAGTAATTCAACCCCACTGTATTGCTAGTCACATGTGATAACATGTTTTAGTTTTATTTAGCTATAGATTAGGCAGATACTAAATATTTATTGCAATCATTTATCTTTGCTCCAGACTTTAAATATCAGTTATTTGGGTATGCTTCTAGAAAAAGTCAAAAGGATGGAGAACCTGTTCTGACCACAATGGCCTGCAGCTTTAGGGTACTATTGTGAGATGAGTCCACGATACAGTATGTCTACAGTATATCTCCCAACAGCAACCTCCAGTGGCCACCAGGATCAAGGATTTATGGGTGTATCATGTCATTAATGAGACTGCAGAGTCTATTGTTTTTAGAGAGCCTTTGAAAACCTTGTATAGTAGTAAACGAATCAGCAAAGTACAGCTATTATGACTATCCTATGTATGTTTAGGCCTCATGCACACTGGGCATTTTTACAGCTGCTGTTTTTTGCTTCTGGCATCCTTTTCTACAGCCAGTAAACTCCCCACCATGTTTTAATATGTATCCGTATACACATAGGCTGTAATCAGCATTTTTTTGGCAGGGGCGTTTTCTGGCTAGAAAAATAACCTAGAACTAGTGGGTTTCAAGAGGAGTTTTTTTAGCATGGTAAATGCGGAAAAATGCGGCAACCGTGTTTTTGAGCCAAAAAACGTGGAAAAACGCATCTTAATGCTGCAAAACTCAGGTAAATGCTAATGCAAAAACATTGAAAACTGCATAAACACTCACGTTTGTAATATGTCTTTAAACAGCTAAGACTATCACCGTTTTTTAAAGCACCTAGTGTGCATAAGGCCTAATAATTACAAATTATATAGTAAAACAAGGCTTTTATAAATCAAAATCTATAGGATTAGTTACATTTAAAGGAAACTGTTGAGATGGCAGTATGGGAGCTCCCATTTTAAGGTGTAGATTCTGGGGCTTTCTTGCTTCTTTACTTAAAGAGGCATTGACTTGGGACAAGCATATACCTATTGTTATACCAGGGAACCAGGGGCGGACTGACCATTTGGAAACTCGGGCACTGCTCGAGGGCCCGGGGTCAGTAGGGGGCCCCATGAGATGCCCCTGGTACCTTTTTCATAGGCTTTTTTGAGTTTGGGCAAGGATACAGGGGCTCCATGATCCCCTATTGCCCGGGGGCCCCATGAGTTGTCAGTCTGCCCCTGCTGGGAACTTGTCAAAGTCGGTGAGTCTCACAGTGTGGTCAGGACAGGGATGGGGCAAGGGTGAGGGCTAATAGTGGCACATAGAGTGCCTGCGTCAAAATAGAGTCAATGACTGTGATGCAAATGTTTTTGGTTTATTAGTAGTGTATATAGTATGCTGTGGCAAATATGGGGCTAACAAAGTTTTGGTTTGACAGGTGACAGGTCTCAGGTGGTTACATGATAGTACTATGGTCCTCTAAGCAAACAGTGCTGACTTGGCAATAGGTTCACATATTCATATAATGCAATGATAGTTCTTGGACATTTAGCAGATTGTGTTCTTTTTCATTTACCTTATTCTTTTGCTGTAAGTCATACTTGTCTTACAAAGATTTATTTTCTGACCCACATGCTTCCTGTTGTATTTCATTCACACTCTGGATCTAGCCATCACACCCAACATCCTCTCTGGTCTCACACCTCACCTTCTCTGTTTACACATCGTTCCCTCCTCTGATTCCTTGCCATTAGCACTCCCACTCTCATCCTGATGTGGATGCTGGGTCATGGGAAGTGACAGTGACATCACTATTCCAATCAGTTGATTGCCTCCTGAACCAGAGGGATCTCCTGATGGCCCAGAGACCCTGTAGGGAAATTGATTAGCTAGCGTTTCCAGGCAAATGCTGAAAAGTTTCCACTATCCCTGTTGGCTGTCCCCACAACTGACATGCAGATGCTTGTTCAGGGTAAGTGACTGACCAAGTAGTGATGTAATGATGAGGCCAATAGCCTTAGAGCCTGTACTTTTGACTTTATTAACCACATTCCCTTTAAATTGTAACTCTAATTTTGCTTTGAAAAAAACAATTCTCTCCATTTCAGTTAAATACATTGAAAGTAAAAAAAACACAAGTGGAAAATACAATATGCAAACACAGATTCTAGGTCCTAGGAGGGGTAATACATATTACTGGCACCTGTTCCTGGAGTTACATGCAATGCTTTATTGGAAGTTTAGAACAGGATAAAACAACACATTTTGTCCTCCGCACTCATGCCTTTTTACCCCATGCATTTCTACCCTATGCAGGCTATGATTAAGGACTACATAGGGCATAAACGCATAAATGTGGAGGAGCATATGCATTGTTTTATCCTATTCTAAGCTTCCAATAAAGCATCACATGTAACTCCAGGAGCAGGTGCCAGTAATATGTATTTCCACAGAAGACTGGGCTGACAGGAGTCTCTGTGCACCACCACTTACACTGAAAAGCAGATTGGGTGAGCAGTGGGTATGTGCTTTCGCTAGGAAGGGTAGTGTGCACAGCCCAACGCAAAACAGAATAACAACTAGTGTAATGCTCTCTCTATCAGAAATTAGGGAAAGGTGGCAAAATGAGTCCTCATGAAAATAAAATCTATTTGTTTAGAAAAGGATCACACTTCCACAGCATCATCAGTCTCTCCTTTGCGTGAGGTCTGGAATCCTCTCACCAGTACATATAGGGCAAAAAAAGGGGGGAGGGGAAGAGAGAGTGCCACTGTCTAAGCCAGCCTTTCTCAACTGGGGTGCCTTGAGGTTTCTTCAGGGGTGCCTTGGCAAAATGTCTAAAAATTACCCAAAACTTGTATACAAGCCAGCGGGTGGAACAAGCCTGCCCTTTAGTTACACAAAGTCGCAGGTTTTCATTGCGCACCATATACAACCTTCTAGTCTCCAGTGTCCTGACAACCAATGGCATCATCAGTTGATAAGGAGGATGTCAGCTGCCTACTCAGCATCCTAGTTTGACCCTCCCCTGCCCCTCTCCATCAGTATTGGGATCACATTAGGTCAGTGATGGAGAAAGACTGGGGGGAAGAGAAACACTGGAATATTAGTCAATACCAGTGTGCAAAATGTGTTTGCTCTGGAAGAATAAATTGTCTAATGTTGGGTGTCCTACATCTGTGGATGTTGCTGCATTATATAAAACTATTAGAATAGTTTTTCAAATTTTAGAATGGGGTGCCCTTTTAAGATTATGGATAGTCCCCAGGCACCCTTTATAATTATGGACAGTCTTGAGGCACCCCATTCTTAAATGGGGTGCCTCAAGACTGGCTATAATTTTAAAGGGTGCCTCGA